GGTTCTGACACAGAACAAAATATTGCCTGATCCTGCGCCACCCTCACACATGTTCTTATGTTTGAGCCCATTGTTGCAGCCCTGGTATAAACCCATCTATCTCTTTGAGAGCATTTCTCTTTTATGATGCTCCTTCATTTTACCAAACATGATGTCCAACTCTAGATCTCTCCTCACAACATGTCTAAAGTGTGTAAGATGAAGTCTTGCCATCTTTGCCTTCAAGGAGCACTTTGGACATACTTCTTCCAAAACACACTATGTCCTTTTAGCAGTCCATGTTACTTTCAATATTCTTCTCCAGCACCACAATTCAAATGCATCTATTCTTCTTCAATCTTCTTTATTCAATGCCCAACCTTCACATGTGGCTTGGGTCAGGCACACCGTTGTCCCCAAAGCAACAGTCTTGCTTTTCAATCCTGTCTAAAGAGTTCTTGTGCAGCATATTTGGCTAATGCTACTCGTCTTTTAATCTCTTGACTGCTGCTGCCATGAGCACTGATGATGGATTCAAAAAAGACAAAATCCCTGACATCTTCAGCCTTTTCTCCATTTTTCAAGTTACCTCTTGGTCCAGTTGTAGGGATTTTGGTCTTCTTTACATTGAATTGTAATCCATACTAAAGGTTGAATATTTAATCTTCCTCAGCAAGTGCTTCAAATCCTCTTCACTTTCAAAGAGCAAGGTTGTACCATCTACATACAACAGGTTGTTAATAAACCTTCCTCCTATTCTGATGCCACATTCTTCTTTAAGCTAACTTCTATGATGATTTGCTTAACATGCAGATTGAATAAATATGATGAGAGGATGCAACACTGTTTCATACCTTTCCTGATTTAAAATTATGCAGTGTTCCCTTTTCTGTTTATACAACTGCTCTTGATCCATGTACAAGTACTGCATGGACTCAATGAAATGCATGCTGTGATCCACACAGTTGAATGACTTGGCATAGTCAGTAAACATAAGTAAACATCTTTCTGGTATTCTCTGCTTTGAAGCAAGATCCATCTGACATCAACAATGGTATCCCTTGCTCCATGACCTCTTCTGAATCTGGCCTAGACTTCTGGCAGCTCTCTGAATATACTGATGCAACTGTTGTTGGATGATCTTCAGCAAAAATTTACCTACATGTGATATCAGTGATATTATATAATCTAAGCATTCTGTTGGGTCACTTTTCTTTGGAATAGGCACAAATATGGCTCTCGTCCTGTCAGTTGACAAAGTAGCTGTCTTCCATATTTCCTGGCATAAATAAGTACTTCTAGTGTTTTATCAGGATGCTGAAACATTTCCATCTGGATTCCATCAATTTCTGGACCTTTGGTTTAGGCTAATGGTTTCAGTACAGCTTGAATTTTTTCCTTCAGCACCATTAGTTCTTGCTCATGGACTAGCTCCTGAAATGGTTGAATGTCAACCATTTCTTTTTAGTACAGTGACTCTGCATTCTTTCTGTTTTCTTTTGATGCTTCCTACATTGTGCAATACTTTGTACACAAAATCTTTCCCTGTTACAACCCAAGGCTTGAATTTTTCTTGAGTTTTTTTTTAGTTCAAGATATGCTGAGAGTGTTCTCCTTTTCTGAGTTTCTAAATCTAGATCTTTGCATATTTCATTATAATATA